TGACATGTACCGTTGTAAAATTAATTACAGTACGACATGCTGCACGTCGCCCCGCCTTGTTCTCCACCAAAGTCAATGGAAGACTGCAAAGAACTCGTCGATTCGACCGGATATTTGGACGTTGACAAGTTTACACTGCAACACGTGAGGTACCCGAACGTCTTCGGCATTGGAGACTGCCTGAACACGCCAAATTCGAAGACAATGGCCAGCATAAGTGAGTCATTAGCATAGCATTCATGAGTGAACACCTTTGAGCATGAAGCCATACCTGAATAAAGCTTGTTTCTTTACTGTACTCGATGCATTTCTGTGATATGATGGTTCTCGTGCACTGAAAACTTTGTGGGTGTGAAACTCACGATACGTCTACAGCAGTCAACATAGAAACCGCCTTAATCATGCATAACAAAACTGATTTGCACTTAACTACGGTGAGTGTTGCAGGTAGGTAATTATGTCCAACCTTGAATATGCTGCAATAACGTATGCAAAAATATTGGAATTTGGCAACAACTGGGAATATGGATTTATAAGTTTAAATTGATGGTTATTGTCGCAGAGTAAAGGAAAAATATCAGCTATCGTCATGAGGTCGGTCTTCCTTAAACTTTTTTCACTAGACTGTTTTTTGTTCCCTTCGTTCCGTGAAGCCAATGATGAAGCGCTGACCTCAATTTCTATGCCATTAGCAAACAGCACCTTATTTCTTAACGGGACAAAGTCGACAGCAGCTATATGAACAGCATAGCGTGTAGTCCTGTTTCCTCTCCACAGAGGGGTACTCACTTATCAACCTTGGAATGGGTAAAGACAAGTATCCAAACCTAAGCTGTATATCGGAACCTCTCGATTCAGAGTCTAATGCTCTACCGACTGAGCAACCCCGATCACAGAGTAATTAAAAATTAGTGTTGACAATTCGAACTTTTGGGTCATTTTCTGAACCATTTTCAACATTGTGTGTATTTGTAGCATCCTTAAGGCATTACGGATCTTCGAAACTAATATACGTAACCAGAAACATTAGTCTCATATTTTGCCCTCACGACCTCAACACGAACTTATCATCTGAGTGAAGAAAGTTGCCTGGATACTGTCGCTGACGACACTTACAATGTTCACATCCTTAGTCGCTAACGAGGTATAAAGTTTTGATGGCATCGTATTACATACGGTAACCATTAACCGTCGCAGTCGATTCATTCCTCATTTTTCGTCAGAGACACCTCACTGTAAAGGAATTTATTGCACTGCTCCGTGATCAAACTTAATGGTATCTCGAATTATTAGCTCACGGATTTGCATAAGCATTTTTTACACACCGCTAAGACCGAAAGTAATTTCGTGGTCATTATCCCTTATCCAACAGCATCACACGAGGCTGCTCAGTGATTCTATCTAAAAGATCATGCTATTCAATGCCGAGCTTCTGCATTCTCAAATTCCTCTGACTGTCCCACTGACTCAGAAGTCCTAACCCTTGCCGTGCCTGAGACGTTTTCATTTAGTTTACTCTATGAGTTCATTATTTTTTCTCACGCGTTTTTGCTCTATTTGTTGTTGTTGCTGTTGTTTGCTGGAAGATGTAATCGATTTTGTTAGAATTGTGCAAATCAACTGTTGTTGTTTAAGCCATACATGGTTTCAGTGTAGTAAAGCTACAGTAGACGAAAAATTACTGTCAATTTACATCCTGAAAATCACTGTTTCATTAAAATCATTTAGGCAAACAGCTGAAAGTTGTTCGCAAAAACTTAATCAGCGTTATGAACAATGAAACGCCAACGGCAAAGGTGAGCCAATATAAGTGTATAATGCTAATTACGTGGTCAGTGGTTATCATGCCGATGAATAACTTCCGCATATTCATATTATGTTCTTCATGTATGGCCGAGAACCGGCACAGACCCAATCAGAGGTTACTGCATGGCGTCAGTGGGTAACGATGCCTTGCAATCTTAACCTGTAAAACCCACAGAGACTTCTAAGGAAACCAGAATTGACCAGTTGACTAGGATTTTGGAACCATTTTAGGGATAGACACTTCAGCATCCGTTTTTTGTTGATTCCAGCTTTATTTGAGTCTTTCCATAGTTGCTACTTTCTCAGCAGCACTATTTTGTGTAATCAAACCCAAGAGTGCTTATGTTCAAAGGCGGCTTTGAGAATTGGTCCTGAAGCGAATGGGGTACCAAGAAAAGACTCAAGGTCTAAGTACACCAATGTTACCCCTAACTTGAACGAAAGCAAAGGCCGTTTCGTCGAAATGAGTCTGTTGAACCAGTAAGAGGACCGGGCATCTGAGAAGCAATGTCTGCATATTTATTTCCTCTGAATTGCATAACCTTGGATCTTTCATACGATCGCGCACATCCGTTTCATTTCTTATGAAGTTTACGAATTGTAGTATGATGGCTACTCTTCGTGCCCAATCATAACCGATTACGGCAAGGGAATCTTGGCTGAATTCATCTACGATTGTATACCTAAAGAGACGATGCCAATTGACCAGCGACGGGAGATGTGGCTATCTTACTTTTTGAAGAGAGAAGGAATGGCACGAATATACTGGTACCTGTACGTACGGTAAGCTATATTTTCATGTCGATTAAGACTTTAACCTGAATACCTTTTTAAACTGGTGAACGTTTGGTCCGCAGAATTAATAATAACGTATACATTTAGTGAGACTACAAGAAAATCACTTATGTTCTGTCTTCTCAGAGGGGGCATTGTTCAGAAACGTACACTTAACTTATAAATTATTCTTGACTCGGCATTAGCTTAGCTCTCAACTTAGTCTCAACTCTAAACCCTAATTCATAGCTTCACCTTGAGCCTTGAGAAAGGTAGTGTGACTTGCTACCTGGCAATAATGTCACGGAACCATAAACCATCCTAGTCGTGCCACGGAGTTAAAAAGGAGCTATGAGAGGATAGGAGTGTTAGTCTTCCTAAAATTTTTATGACTGGGCGCCATTTGCGACACTTATCATTCACATTTCTACGTTTCTTTATGATTGGCAAGGTACTTCTGCTGCTGGCCGTATCTACAACTAGGTGATCGCCTGAACGTGTCCCTGGAAACAAACAGTAATCAACGTGAAGACACGCGAATCACGGAGAATACAGCAATCTTGCTTTCACCCATCTGCTGGCCAGAAATCCATGTCCTGAATTCTTAAGCATTTTTATATAATGACTTTTGCGATGCTGA